TAAAAGTGTGCCAAAAGTGGGCGCTGTAGGTGCAATAGTTTTCGCACAATTCTATTTGTTTATAGCGGAGGCTCCAAAAGTTATGAACTTTAAGCCTCTGTACAAACGTTAATTTTCAATCAAACATGATTCTGAAAGCGTCATTGTAATCTTAAAGACGCAATTAAGCGACCTATTAAAAAATATCACGGTTTTTTTGACATTAACATTCTCAAATTGTGCATTAAGAAACCGTGCGTTTTTCGCTTATAAACAATTTGAATACCATTGTTGCTATTTATGCTATTTCACCGAAAATAGATGCAATGGATAGCTGGCAAAAAAATACAGTTTTAAAATAAAAAAAGTACCCCCTACGACCGACAGGAGCCAAGATAAGATTTTTTTTTAAATCGTAGCGCAATCGTTTATAAATATTAAAACTTGAATATTTCGCAAAATATAGTTTACGACGTAAACTATGATTTCCCGTGAATTGCATTGAAAAATGTGGAAAATTAACGACTCACGACTCGCTAAGTAAACTGTCCGGCGGCCGGCGGCGTAGTGGTGGGGGAAGCTCGTCCAAGCGATCCCGCGGGCGAGAAAAGTTAAATGCAAAGTTCAAATAAGTGCGCGCTGTAAATTTTGCAATATCTCGGCTTCTATTCATCGTAGAAACTTATTTTTTTTAAACTGGGGTAGCTCGTCGAAAATATAACAATTGGCATATTTACGAATTCGTAGAATAGCCCTGAACCCTAGAAAAAATGTATCTTTTATACTTAATTTTATTTAATTTACAAAAATGTCACAAAAATTATTGTTAAACGAAATATTAATTAAAATTTCAATTTCGGAATTATTTTACTATTATTAAATAAATAAATGAAGCTATCGTTCATTTAAAAATTTATTTTTTTACATATTAAGCCAAAGTAAACTTATTTTTTCAATATTTTGTTCACAAATTATTTTCAAATTATTATTTATTGTTAAAAGATTTTAAAAAGAATAAAAAGCATTTGAATTTATTGCAAAATTCTCAAAATTAAAAAATAATAATAAAAACAATGCGGTCGATAAAATTAAAAAATATTTGCAACATAATCAAAATTAATTCAAAAAATATTAAACATAACTATTTTCAGTAATAGATATAATGCAATATAATACAATTTAAAATTTAAAATTTTTTCAATTTTTATGAAAAATTACTTTAAATGAACGATAGATTCATTTATTTATTTAATAATAGTAAAATAATTCCGAAATTGAAATTTTAATTAATATTTCGTTTAACAATAATTTTTGTGACATTTTTGTAAATTAAAAAAAATTCAGTACAAAAGATGTATTTTTTCTGGGGTTCAGGGCTATTCTACGAATTCGTAAATATGCCCATTGTTGTTTTTTCGTTTATAAGCGAAAAACTCACGGTTTTTTAATGTACAATTTGAGAATGTTAATGTCAAAAACACGGTGATATTTTTTAATAGGTCACTTAATTACTTCTTTAAGATTATAATAACGCTTTCAGAATCATGTTTGGTTGAAAATTAACGCCTGTACAGAGGCTTAAAGTTCATAACTTTTGGAGCCTCCGTTATAAACAAATAGAATTGTGCGAAAACTATTGCACCTACTTTTGGCACACTTTTAAAGTATGACAAAACCCTCAACTTAGGTTTTATAAAATTTTAACAATAAATGCGATAGTTATAAACAAATAAAGAAATGGGCATATTTCTTGTTTTT